GGACGTCCATTCACCCTGGGTGCGGGAACGCCACGCTTCCCGTAGAAAAAACACCGAAATCCAGGAAACCCAGGGCATCCTGGAGGCAAGCAGGGTGTTTCTGGGCTTGGGTCTCTTCTGTATGTCGGGGAGGGCCGCCGCTATATCTCCACCAGCACGCCTCCGCTCTTCCCCGCGCATCCTGTCGTCCTCCGCGTCCTGGCCCGCGCTGGCGTGCTGGCAAAACCCCAACAGTCCTTGAGGGCGAGAGTGGTTCAGCGAGATTCCTCTTCCATCTTCCTCCCTGGAGGCAAGCAGGGTGTATCTTGGCATGGGTCCCCACTGTATGATTGTGGCTGCCACCTGACCGGTTTCTCCCAACTCCGCGAGGCACCCTCGGGCGCGCCAGCGCCGGAAAACCTCCCTCCTCGCCCTCCCCGCCCTGCCCCCCTCCCCCCCCCTGTGCCAGGCTCCTTCCCTCCCGAGGAGGAGGAGGATGAGGAGGAAGAGGCGGAGGAGGAGGAGAAGGAGGAGGACGAGGAGGAGGAGGAGGAGGAGGAGGAGGAGTCCTTCTCTACCAGATCCGCTCAAAACCGATCCCCGGGCCCCTCCCGGGGCTCACTGCGGGCTTCTATTCCGCGCCGCTTCGACGGTTCGAGGGCCCGAAACGGGCCCCCCAAGGCCAGAAGCTCTGAATAGCATCCCGTGCGACTGTTTTCGTTCTGCTCTTCTTCCTCCGCATCCTTCTTCTTCTCCTCCTCCTCCTCCTCGTCCTCCCCCTCCTCCTTCATTCATTTTCCTTATAGATAACTCCTCTCCGTCGCACCCCGAGGCCGGTCAAAAGTGCGGGCCAGGCGTTTTGCCTGACACTTCCTCGCACTCAATGATCCTGAAACTAAGAAATAGCAATTATTTCACGGATGGAGGGCGGTCCGCTTTCAAAATGTGCCTCTCGCCTTAGCGCCGTGCATACTCGCTTAAAGAAATTACAAGAGCTTCACGGATGGAGGGTGGTTCCTTTTCAAACATTGTGTTCTCGCCTTAGCGCCGCGCACATGTCGCACTCGTTTTCAGAGCTTGCACCAGTTTAAAAGGATTCGCATAGGAACGTCCCAGAAATGGTGTTCGGGCACGATGTCAGAATTTAAGGGCGCAGCAGTCACGCTGGTTCGCGGTGTTGAAGTCCCAGGAATGACGTTCTGGCACGATTCAGGATCGTCTAGACGCACCAGTAACAGTGATTCGCGGCGTTGAAGTCCAAGGAATGGCCTTCTGGCAACATTCCAAAATTTCCTGCCGTTGCTTTCCAACGGGGAATTCCTTTTAGTGAACATGGATCCGTGCAGGAGCCTATGAAGATGGAACTTGGAGGGAAGGTTTATTCGACATCCTTGATGGACCTTGGGTTTACGCCGGCCCTCCTCCTCATCCTCCGCCTCCTCGTCCTTCTCCTCCGCCACCCTCCAACACACGCGGGTTTCAGATTCCGTGCCGGTCGTGTGTTTTTGTTTGCGCTATTCCCGGGGGCCTCTTGGAGCCCTGTTTGGGATGACCTAGGGAGTCGGCTGAGGCGTTACTCGAGTTTCCGTAGGCCTCATCTGCCACGGGGCTTGGCGCGATGGCGCCCGAAGCTCTCTGCCTGCGTGCAAGGCGTCCGAGGCTCGAACGACCCGTTGTATCAGTTCCCCGAGCGTCCTCCTCCTCCTCACCCCTCCTCCTCCTCCTCTTCTCCCTTATCCTCCTTCTTCTCTTCCTCCTCCTCCTCCTCCTCTTCCTCCTCCTCCTCCTCCTCCACCTCCTCCTCACTCCTTCCAACTCCTCCTCAGTCCTCCTCCCCCTCCTCCTCCTCCTACTCCTTCCTCCTCCGTCCTCCTCCTCCCTCCTCCTCCTGCCTTCTCCTCACTCATCTCACATACTCATTCCTCCATCCCTATCAACTAAAATCACTCCTTCTGCCTCCTCCCCTACTCCTCTCCTCCTCCCTCCGCCTTCCTCCCCTCCCTCCTCCTCCTCATCATCATCATCATCATCATCACGACTCTCCCCACTTCTCCTCACTACTCACTCCTCACTCCTTCTCTTCATCCTCCTTCTCCACCCCCATCCTCCTCCTCGTCCACATGTTCCTCATCCTCCTCTTCCTCCTCCTCCTCCTCTTCCTCCCCTCCTTCCGCTTCCTCCTCCTCCTCCTCCTCCTCCTCCGCTCCTCTCCTCCCCTCCTCCTCTCACTCCCCCTCGACTACACGCCCTCACTCCTCCTCCTCCTCTCCACCTCCTCCTCCTCCTCTCCCTCCTGTACCTCCTCCTCCTCCTCCTCCTCCTCACCTCCTCCTCCTCCTCCTCCTCTCCTCCCCCTCCTCCCTCCTCCTCCACCTCCTCATGCTCCTCCTCCTCCCCCTCCTCCTCCTCATCCTCACTCTCCTCTTCCTCCTCCTCATCCCCAGCCCCATATCCTCCTCCTCCTCCTCCTCCTCCTCCTCTCACATCCCCCCTCCTTCCTCCTCTCCTCCTCCTCTCCTCCTCCTCCTCCTCCTCCCTCCTCCTCCACTTCCTCCACCTCATTGTCTGGAGCCCGACAACTTGCTGTAGGCACTTAAACCGAATTTGCGCCCGAAATTGATCGTTCGTGTTACGGAAGACTGACTCCTCCTCCTCCTCCTCCTCCTCCTCCTCCTCCTCCTCTTCCTCCACCTCATTTCTGGTGGCCGACCTTGGGGAGGAGCTCACACTTACCGAATTTGCGCCGAAATTGATCCGTTCGTGGTTACGGAAGACTGCTGTGAAGGGACTCTAATGGGATCTTGGGGCCAGGCTCAACTTGAACGGTAGAGCTTGTGTCGACCCTGTTCCGAATTCTTTGCAAAGCTCCAAGTGTACCCCGTATCAATACAGCTGCCTGCGCTCGTTGTTCTGCCAAGCCATTAATACCCGTCAGCGAGCCGCCGGCCTAGGTTACATGCTGCCCACGACGGTCTGCCCGTCGTGTGGCGACGGCCTAGACACCCTTGGACACCGCCTGTGGGAGTGCCGTTGCCCTGAGGTGGTGGAGCTAAGGGGCACACGAGTCAAAATAGATATTCAAGAATAGGCAGCTAAGGCTGACGACAAATTGGCCTGCTACGGCGTCTTCCCCCACCTCTCCGACTTCCCGCCGCCTCTCGAGCCTGGGGGCATCATGGTGGAGTGGACGGAGGAGGATGGGGGGCATTCACAGTTTTTTCGAGGGTGGCCTGTTCGTCGATGGCCCGTGCACTCGCTGCCTGGTGGGAGACTTCAACAGGGCTGGCTGGCCGATCGTGGTCGTCTCAAGAGAAACAGGCAATGCTATTGTGCGAATCAACGGTCCAATGTGGGCGCCCTGCCCTCAGACGCCCCAAACAACAACATGTCACGCTCTGTCGGTAGCCGTGCAATGGGCGACTGGCCCCTCCACAGTATTTTCAGATTGCCAGGGCTGTGTGGATTTGCGCGGCTCCCACGGCATGAGGTGGTCTCAGGCAAACGCATGTACAGTGGCATGGCGCAGCACTTGCGTGATCATTGGTCGAACGTGCAGCTGGGAAAACGTTAGAGCCCATCTGGACGTCCAAGCTGCCACGGGCGACCGCAATAGATATGTGCGGCGCAACAACGACTGGGCTGACAAGACGGCCACGGAAACGGTTTTCTTGCATCATATGCCATCGCCGTCCGATCTCGAGGGTCGTGACCGTGATTGTGCTGTTGCCCGGGCCGTGGGCCGTCTCGGGGCGAAGTTGCTCGCTCTGCGGCTTCGTCTCTCCTTAGGCCCCAAAACTCAGCGTGTCCCGCCTCCCCCTGTGGAGGAGCCACAGGGGGAGAACAAGGGTATGCATCAGTGGAGCTGGGTCGGCAATTACTGGCAGTGCGCTGCGTGTCTCCGCGGGAGGCGCGGTGTGCCCTCGTGTGAGCCTCCTGGAGGGAAGTGCTCGTCTGTGCTGAAGGTTTCCCCGACCAGGCCTCGAGTGCTTGGTCATCGTGGTGTGCTGCCCGACTGTTCAGGCGGCTCCTTTTTGTGCATTTGCCACAATTGCGGCTATATGGCGTCGGGAGGCCAGCTTCGGAACCTCGACAAGAAGTGTGAGCCAGACACGGTGGCCACACACACAACAACCCGTGGATTAATTTGCAAACGGGCTCCATCCTAAAAAGACTGGTGTGTCCGCTGCTTTAAGCACGGTTTACCATCTGTGAGGTGCTAAGTCGCGTTTGCACAGTGCGTGGCGCGCCTCGCTGTTCCAGCCATGTCAATTGTCCAGCACGGTTTGGTTTGGAGCAGTAGTCAGAGTTCCTTCTCGGGGTCTCGCCCACCCTGGGAGGTGTATGTGGACTGCACCCTGGTTGATGGAACAAACATCCGCCTCATCCTCCTCCTCCTCCAAACTACTCGCTCCTCCTAACTCGTCGTTCCTCCTCACTCCCTCCTCACTCTTCCTCCTCACTCTTCCTCCTCCTCCTCCTCGTCCTCCTCCTCATCGTCCTCGTCCTCCTCCTCCTCCTCCTCCCTCCTCATCGCCCCTCCCCATTCCTCCTCACTACTCACTCCTCACTCCTCCTCGTGCTCCTCCTCCTTCGCTTCCTCATCATCATCATTGTCATCCTTCTCTTCCTCCTCCTCCTCCTCCTCCTCATCCTCCTCCTCCCCCCCTCCCTCCTCACTACTCACTCCTCACACCTCCTCCTCCTCCTCCTCCTCCTCCTGCTGCTCCTCCTCCTCATCGTCCTCTTCCTAATCCTCCTCTTCCTCCGCCTCCTCCTCCGCCTCCTCCTCCTCTCGCCCCTTCCTACTCCTCCTCCTCCGTCCTCCATATCCTCCTCTCCTCCTCATCATCCGCCTCCCCCTCCTCCTCACTACTCACTCATCACCCCTCCTCCATCCTGCTGCTCTGCTCCTCTCCTCCGCATCGTCCTCTTCCCTATCCTCCTCTTCCTCCTCCTCCTCCTCCTCATCCTCCCTCCCCTCCTCCTCACGCCTCTTCCTCTTACCCTCCTCCTCCTCCCCTCCTCATCTCTCTCTCTCCTCTCCAGCTCATTCATCCTCCTCCTCTCCTCCTCCGCTCGGCCTCCTCCTCCTCCCTCCTCCTCCTCCTCATCCTCCTCCTCCTCCTCTGTCCTCCCTATCCTCCTCCTCCTCCTCATTGTCCTCTTCCTTCTCCTCCTCCTCACTCCGTCTCACGCCTCCTCACCACTTACTCCTCCTCTTCCTCCTCCTCCTCTTCCTCATCCCCCTCCTCCTCGCTCATCCTCGCTCCAACTCGCTCATCCTCTGTCGCCTCCTCCTCGTTCGCCTCCTCCTCCTCCTCCTCCTCCTCTTCCTCCTCATCATCATCATCATCATCATCATCATCATCATCATCATCATCATCATCATCATCATCAGCATCATCATCACATCATCATCATCAGCATCAATCACATCAGCATCGTCATCATCATCATCATCATCATCATCATCATCATCAGCATCAGCATCATCATCATCATCATCATCAGCATCATCATCAGCATCATCATCCTCATCACCACCACCACCATCATCATCATCATCATCATCATCATCAGCATCATCGTCATCATCATCATCATCATCAGCATCAGCATCAGCAGCAGCATCACCATCATCCTCATCAGCATCATCATCAGCATCGTCATCAGCAGCATCATCATCATCACCAGCATCAGCATCATCATCATCATCACCATCATCATCATCAACATCATCGTCATCACCATCATCGTCGTCGTCATCATCATCATCATCATCATTATCAGCATCATGATCGTGATCATGCTCCTCAACATCCTCATCATCGTCATCATCATCAGCATCAGCATCGTCAGTACCAGTATCAGCATCGTCAATACCATCAGCATCAGCAACAGCATCATCGTCATCATTATCATTATCCGTATCATCGTCATCATCATCATCATCATCATCATCATCGGTATCATCGTCATGATCAGTATTACCATCATCATCATCATCATCATCATCATCAGCAGCATCATCGTCATCATCATCATCATCATCATCATCATCAGCAGCAGCAGCAACATCCCTCTTCTCCTGCTCCTCCTCCTCATCCACCTCCTCCTCCTCCTAACGCACCCCTCTCCGCGCCAGATGCCCGCCTGTGAGGGACGTCGGTCGGGTACGCGGGTGGCAGCGGCTCGCGCAGCCGCCTGGCGGCGTCCAAGATGCACGCCTGTGCCAACGCCGCTGGCGCCAAGCAGCATAGGAGCTCCTCCTCCTCCTCCGCCTCATTCGCCTCGTCCTCCTCATCCTCCTCCCTCCTTCCTCTCCTCCCTCCTCCTCCTCCTCCTCCTCCCAGCGGTTCTCCTCCTCTTCTCCTCCTCCTGCCTCCTCCCCCACCTCCCCATCTCTCCTCCTCCTCCTCCTCTTCCTCCTCCTCTCCTCCTCGTCCATGTACCATGCAACTCTGTATGCTCATCCCTCCCCCTCCCGTCTCATTATCCTAATCCCTACTCTTCCTCCTGACTCCTCCTCCTCCTCCTCCTCCTCCTCCCCCTCGTCCCCCTCCTCCCTCCACCGTCTCAAATATGTGTTTGGTCTCTCTCTTACTCCTCTCTCTCTCTCTCTGATTCCCGCCTGATGCCTAACGATGGGTTGATCTATCATTGAAGCGATGACGAGCTTGGTAACCATTCAAGTCCACTCCTCGTTCCTCCAGCCCCCCCTCCTCCTTGTCCTCCTACCTCTCGTCCTCCTCCTTCTCGCCCAGCTCCCATGAACGATCCCTCCTCCTCGTACCACCCAGCGCGTCGCTAGGGGATCCCAGCGTTTCGCCTCTTACATCCTAGCAATCTAGATTACGCATGCAACTTGACCGCCTCAGCACTTCCACGGACGGAACACTAACCAATTTCACAATGCGGTTCTCAAATTCGCGCCGTGCAAAACCGTACACCTTAGCAAGACCAACACGGATGGAGGGCGGGGCTTTTGACACATCTTGTGCCCTCGTTTTCAGGCCGTGCGGGGTGCGCCATGTCGAACCTACCTTATCATTGGGTACTTTCTTAAACCTGACCTAATAGCCTGAGATAGTACGCCTGCAACAATTACATGGGCGCACGGATTTCGCTTTCACTCTCAACCAGAAAACACTGCGGGAAACCCACGCAAAACCATACGGGGGCCAACATACGGGAGACTGTCATACGGAAGACCTTCATATGGGAGGCCATCACACGGGATACCATCAAGCGGATCACCGCGTGACCATCATACGGGAAACCATCATATGGGGGACCTTGCTATGGGAGACCATCACACACGAAACCACCAACCAACATATTATTATACGTCATACGGGGGAGCACCACACAAGATACCACCATACGGGGCATCATCACACGGAAGGCCATCATACGGAAGACAATCATACGAGAAACCATCAACCGGGAGACCAATATCCGGGAAACCCGGTATACCGTTATACGGGAGACCATCATGTGGGATACACTCCAGCAAAGACCATGCGGGGAGCCGAACGGGGGACAGTGCGGGGGGGGGGGCATGCGGGCAGCCACACGGAAGGCCGTAGAGAGGAGATGCATGGAAAAAACCATACGGGATGCTACACAGAAAAAATCGCTCGGGAGACCATGCGGGGGGCCACCGTGAAAGCCCACGCGAGAGGCCGCACAGGAGACCGCACACGCGAACATGCGGGAACCATACGGAAGCCAGTCTGGGATAAAGCAGGAAGCTCGACCGTCTTGAAGTCGTCAACTCCGCTACTCCAGATTTCGTAATAAAGGGAGGGGGGTCTCATTTCGGGGGGGGTCTCTTCCAGGCAATCTTGGAGGGCCTGGGGGGGTCTGGGGACGATGGTTTTGGAGGGTTCTCCCACGGGGGAGGTCTGAAATGGCTTGTCTTGGAGGGTCCAGACCCCCTCCCTTTTATTACGAAATCTGGAGTACTTGCTCAAACATGCCACCCACCGACCCGCAGCATGGCTGGCCAAGCCCATTCGGCCACGACTGTGGTCCACGACTGGAGCGTGCTAGTGCGCATCCCTACGGCCGCACTGTGGCGAGCGCACGCTCGCGCGCAGATCGGCCAGCTGGTGTGTCACGACTGATGCGGCCGCGCAGGCGCTTGCCGATGGGAGCTTCCCAGCGCGTCTGAAACGCCGCGCAAGTTGGTGACTCGGGCGGGCGCGATATCATGATGGCGTCGACGAGGGCAGCACCGATGATGATGATGAAGATGATGCTGATGATAATGATGATTATGATGATGATGCTGGTGATGATGATGATGATGATGATGATGATGGTGATGATGCTGATGATGATGCTGTTGATAATGATGGCGAGGGTAGTGACGATGATGACGACGACGACGACGACAAGGCCAATGACGGTGCCCGTGCTGGTGACGACGATGACGACGATGCTGTCCATGTGTTGGTAATGAAACTGATCGTTATGATGATGGCGGCAATGGCGGCGATTGGCGATGACAAGAATGGAGGTGATGCGATGCCGCTGGTAATGCTGACAATGATGTGAGGGGGCAGAAATTCATCAAATCTGGCAGCTGGCAGACTTTGGTTGAACAGCGATTGTTGTCATATGCATTTCAAAGGTATGTGCTGGAACGCTTCGAACACCAATGGTGTGGTAAGTAATTCGACGCGCACGCGTGACAACGCGCGTTTGTCTGCCATGGCATTAGACGATACGGAATCGTCCACTGGGCGCACACTCGACGAGAATGCAGTTGATGCACTGAGGAGTTCACCGCGTGGTGAAATGAGAATGAGGGCTCTGGACGAAATTGCTACATGTCTCAGGTTTCTCCCGGTTTCAGCAAGTATGCGCGGGCTGAACACCTGCAGGATTTGCATTGTAAAACCACTGGGTTTGACCTGTTTGTGTGTTAGTATGCTTGCAGAGCTGTTGTGCTTGCTATGGTGTCGACATGTGCGTGCTCGTCTCGGATGTGGCTTCCTTGTATTTGTCGCATGGGCCTTTTTGCAAACATGTTTTAAAGAGATACACGGATGCGCACGCATAATAGTACTTGACAGGGACGACGAGGGGAATCGATACCGGCCGGCTTTGCCAGGATGGTATGGTTTCAGATGGACATTGAATGATGAATCACCATCAAATGTGGATTGTACTGTCGCAGGGTGAGTCGCGAACCTCAGGCCCGGGAGGGTGGTCGAGTCTTTACTTCTTTAAGAGAAACCAGCCACCGACCCTGGGTCCAGCCACGGATCGGCCAGCCCTTGTTGCGAGCCACATACACATTTACCGACACACAATTATAAAACCTTTACAGACAAGCTCTTTAGGGGAAGTTTCGGTGGTCCGCGCGGATAGCCTAGATCTGCGCAGGACCCCCCTCCCTGGTGCGCGGAGCGTGCCAGGGGGTCCAGCACAGATCCCAGAAATCCGCGCGGACATTCGGAAGGATAGGCTCATGTAAACTGTTCTTCGACTCTTCGATCCCCTCCCCTCGAATATGGAGCGAGACGGGATCGAAGCGAATGAATGTGTTCAAATTTCGGACCGTAAACAACCGTTCAACATGAAGCAATGCTTCCTCGCAGGGGTCGGCCACTAGGGGCAGGGGTCGGCCACTAGGTATTGAACTCCCTCTTGGATAGCAAGGCCGACCTCCAGCCCCCTCGGGCGGGCTCGCGACGTGAGAACCCCGCGACGGAGAGTGCTGGGCTGTTTTTTGGGCCCCCCGAGGGGGGGCCCTCGCCCGGCCCAGAAGGACCGCCGAGGAAAAAAAAAACGGCCCGGGGGCGAGACGCTGGCCCCGTGGAGAGACAGGCTCGGGACGGAAGGGAAACCGGGGCACGCAACAAAAACGGACACCAAAATGATTAGCCAGAGCCCCCATATGTTCCCATATGTTCTGGGTTTTCGTCTTCCCCCCCCACTTGCCATAGTTTCCCATACTTTCGGGGGAATCGACGATGAATTGCGTCTGTGTGTTTCTTCCCCTCCTGAGGGGCTGCAGGGGACCACACGTGGTGAAAGCAAGACATCGCGGGCGCGGGTCCTCCTCTGGCGACGGCGACGGCGACGGCGGCGGCGACGACGGCGACGACGGCGACGACGGCGGCGACGGCGACGACGGCGACGACGGCGACGACGGCGGCGACGGCGACGACGGCGACGACGGCGACGGCGACCACCCGGCCTGGTTCCAGGGCCACCCGCCCCTCTTCACCTCGGCGGCCAGGCGGCCGTCCTGTGCATGGGGAGGGCGCTGGGCGCGGGAGGCCCGAGAGGTGCAGGGCGCAGCATGGGAACGATTGCGCTCAAGTCGGGCGCGCCCCCCGAATTACAGGGAGATTCTGGGCGAGAAGTTGAGAACAGTCCATCACAACAGGCTCCAAAGATGAGCAGGAGTGATAGAAATCGTCCCCTGGCCTATTCTCTTGACTATTTTTGGTATTCCTCCTGCAGTTGAGGCGGGGCGCGGGGCGCTGGAGGCCCGAGAGGGGCACGGAGCAGCCTGGGAACGATGACACCACAGAAAAAAACCCAATCCCACATCTCCTCGGGCATGGACAAAAATCATGACGGGAGGTTTTTGGCTATTTTTAGCTCCTGGGGGCCCTTAGCGGCCCTCGGGACCGTCAACAAAAACGACTAAGGATGAAAAACCGGTCCCAGGGAATGGGTCGAGACCTTTGGGGGTCGACGTTATGACAAAAATCATGATGTCGGGGGTCTGGGATCAGCAGAAATCCGATGTCGTGATTTTTCAATGCGGGGTCCCCGGAAGTCTCGACCCCTTCCCCAGGACCGGTTTTTCATCCGGAGTCGTCTTTTGAAGATCCCAGGGCCCGGCGAGGGCCCCAGAGGCCGAATACTGCGAAAACCCTTCGTCTTAAGTTTTTCAGTGCGTTGGACTTCTGGGAGTGGGAACCGGGAACCCGGGAACCCGGACTCGAAGCAACATGACCATGAACCCGGGAACCCGGCACGAGGAACCCGGGAAACCAGCCGGCCACCAAAATCGGCGGGACACTTCCGCCAAACCTGTCAATTTCTGCTAGGACCCAGGACCCCTTCATAGGCGAACAAAAAGTGGCATAAACACAAAAACTCGGAGGTCCGCGCGGATTTTTCGGGTCCGCGCTGGACCCCTGCCCTGGCGCGCGGAGAGCGCCAGGGGCGGCGCCGGCGGCGCCGCCAGGGGGATCCAGCGCCGATCCGAGAAATCCGCGCGGACCTCCGAGTTTTTGTGTTTATGCCACTTTTTGTTCCCCTAGTCTTTGGACGCCCGAAATGGGTACCGAAAAAATGGGTACTATGGCCAACAGCAAATGTTGTCCCAAACCAACAGCGGCCGCTGTTGGGCGGGCGGCCTCCTGTCTCGAATGGACACAGGCCGCGGCGGCGTGGACAGCGGATCTTGTTCAAGATGAACAAGATCCGCTGTTGGGCATAGTACCCATTCTTTCAGTACCCATTTCGGGCGACCAGATAATCTAGTGCAAGCACTGATTGGGGCATCACATTTCCAATTCTGTCCAAAACCGACAGCGGCCGCTGTCGGGCAGGCGGCCTCCTGGTCCCACGTGAGCGGCGCCCGCGGCCACGCTGGCCGCGAGGCAGCGAGGCCTGCTCGATCCCAGATGGTCTGGTACCGGAAATTTTCGGTAGCGATTTCGACGCACCCCGAATTTCGGTAGCGACCGGATCTTCGTTTAAGGGCGTTGAAATAGCGGATTTCAGAACGCTCTGATACCGGTATTGGGCGCTACATTTCGGTATTTCGGTAGCGACCGATCTCTGCGGAGCGCTAGCTACCCGAAATTTTTGGTAGCGGACCATCAAGGATGTGGACAGGGACGGCTGTCGTAGAGGACTCCCGGCTGGGGTCTTCGCAGATGGGGTCAGAGGCTCGCGCCGCATCGCCGATGCATCGGCCACGCCGGCGTGGAGTAAGTCGCCTTCCATATCCAGTTGCTTCCCGATGCATCGGCGGTGCGGCGCGATCCACCGCAGGGCGCTGCGGGAGCGGGCGCGGATGTGTGCTCTCGACATGCGCCCTCGTGCTGCTCGATCGGCCGGCGGGGGGGGCAGCTCGCCCCACTCCCGAAGAACAGGCCCGGCCTCTTCTCGGTCCTCGCTCCTCCTTCTCCTCGTCCTCCTCTTCCTCCTCCTCCTCCTCCTCCTCCTCGTCCTCGTCCTCCTCCTCCTCCCCATCCTCCCTCCTCCTCCTCCTCCTCCTCCTCCTCCTCCTCCTCCTCCTCCTCCTCCTCCTCCTCCTCCTCCACCCCCCCTCCGCCTCCCCGTCCTCCTCCCCCTCCTCCTCCTTCTCCCCTTTCGCCTCGTCCTCATCCTCCTCCTTTTTTGATCCTGATCGGGCAGAAGCTGTACAGCTGCTGCGTCCACCCGTTCGCCCTCCTGCTGCTCGTCCTGTCTCCTCCTCCTCGCTCGAACGACAAATGTCAGAAGGCCTACGTACAAAGGTCGGTCTTCCTCCCCATTCAGTCCGTGCCCCCTTAGGTCACAAGCGGCGGACGGACACCGCCGAAGCGCCCGCAGGCCCGCGCCGGGAAGGGTTAGCGAGCCGAGGCCTTGAGTAGGGCTGGGGGGTCAGGTCTGCAGAACATCCCAAACGGACGTCGAGGGGCACAACGACCGCACATGGCGTCAAGCCGAAACTGTGGACATAAGAGAATGGCTGAATGCTGAACATTTTCGTCGGCTTACCCGGCGAGGCGTTGGACCACCTTGACGTCCCTGTCCTGCAGAGGAAGGCGCTCTCTGACCCTCGGCCCTACTCAAGCTCGGCGCGCGCGCCGAACGAAGTGCGCGCGGGCCTTCGGCACGGCGGCCCTCCGCGGTCTTCGGGGGCACTTGGCGGCCTCACATCGAAGCCAGGACGACGTCCCCAGGCCTCGAAGCCTCGAAGTCTGCATGACGTCCCCAAGCCTCGAAGCCTCGGCGCCTTGGAGCCATCCATCACCCTCCCAAGGGGAGGTCCACAGCCTCCGCCGATGAGTGGAGCTGGGCCTGCCAGAGAGCACGAGCGATGCCAGGATGCGATTCGCACAGGATGCGGTCCAGGAGTCCTGGGGTACCTGGTACCTCCTCCTCCTCCTCCTCCTCCTCCTCCACCTCCTCCCCCTTCTCCTCCTCCTCCTCCTCCTCCTTCTCCTCCTCCTCCTCCCTCCTCCTCCTCCTCCTCCTCCTCCTCCTCCCCCTCCTCCCCCTCCCCCCCTCCCCTCCTCCCCCTCTCCCCTCCCCCTCCCCCTCCTCCTCCTCCTCCTCCTCCTCCCCTCCTCCTCCTCCTCCTCCTCTTCCTCCCGGACTTCCTATGGTTCAACCATAGGAAGTCCGGGAACTTGCCCCTCTCATGCCACGATGGGGTGATCTCTGGCTGCTCTGCAACCGCGCGCACCGCTTGGTCCGGCACGATCTCCGCCGTCGGGGGTCTCCAGAAGCTGCCAGAGGCTCTCCCCTGGCCGCCGCGCCGAGGCGCCACGCCAACCCGCCATGGTGCTCCTTTTTCGACCCGGAGTTGTTTTTATCATCCTTGAAAAAATGGAGACCCGTATCAGTCTTTGGTCACTAAGACTTCGTCCTTTGGGCCCGGAGTCCTGCATCTCGAACATGATGCGTGAGCACCACTTCTTTTTGAACGCCTTCTGCGCGCCCTCCGTGGTTCGGAAGAAGTACACCTTGCACTTGCCGATGCCTTCTTCGGTGACGATGCACGCCCCCGCCTGCTCCTTCTCGCAGTCACCGCCGTTAGGCATCGACAGGGTTGGCTTCACCAGCACGACGCCCTCCCACTCGGAGGCCTCGAGGAGGTGGGGGAGGGAGTGAGGGCGAGGAAGACGAGGAGGCCCAAGGCCTGCCGCGAAGGGAAGGTCACGAGTCGGTCGACCCGACACGACCCGATGCCTCAGAGAGGCTCTCTGGGCCTCGCCGGCTGCATCGCCCGACGTGCTCTCTGCCTCCGTTGCTGCCGCCGCTCCTTCCTCGAGTGGAGCTGGGCAGCAAGGGCAGACCCAGATCAGAGAGCGCGCCCAGTTCGGGGACGGGACGGGTGGCAGGGGCAGGAGGAGGCGATCTGCACAGACCCACACAGACCACAACAGAGAACGAGGGCCAAGATGGTGAAGATGACGAAGACGTAGGGCGACAGGATCTAACCCTGAAAGGTCTTTAGACCCCTCCTCCTCCTTCTGCTCTTGCTCCTCCTCCTCCTCCTCCTCCTCCTCCTCCTCGTCTCCCTCCTTAGGTATATTTGAATATATAGATGTGTGTACATATACCCTGTATTGTTGGGACCCCAACCCTTCAATAACGTCGGCGACAAAAAAATCACTCCCTATCGGGGGAGGTGTCTGAAGACCTTTCTCTGCTATACCCAGGCCCCCGACGTCATGATTCTTTCATGACGTCGGGACCCATTCCCCGGGACCGGTTTCTCATGCTGCGTCGCTTCTGACGGTCCCGGGGCCCAGCGAGGGCTCCCAGAGGCCGAGAAAGAGCGAACGACTCCCCGTCGTGATGGTCGTCATGGCCCCAGGGAGTCTGTGTGCACCGCTCATGGGCTCGGGAAGAGCCAGGCCTGGGGCGGTGTACTTATTTGTGCAGAACTCGACGCCAAACCCCGCGATCCGATGCTGTAAAAAATTGCAGCATCGCCAAGAATCACGACCTGACCCCCAGACCCCACCTCTCTGCGTCAACTTTCGAGACGGATCGAGCTGTGAGGGTCCCGGGGCCCGAAACCTGGCGAAAATGCCCGCTGTGAAAAAAATGCAACACCAAGATCTCAGGGTAGACGAGGGCGTGCAGGAGGCCTTGTCTACCGCGAACGCCGTCGCCTTGCCGATGCCGTAGGAGGCGGCGCCTATGCCGGCGCCCGCCATCGCGCCGGGCAGGCCACCGACCAGGCCTCCAGCCCCAGCACCCGCGGTGGTGGCGCCCGCCAGCGAGCCGAACTCCTTGCCGAGCATGGCAGCCTCGTCGACCTTCGCCTGGCTGTACTTGCTCTTGGTGGCAGCGTGCTTCATCGCCCTCCCCGCGCAACTCCCCCGAGTGCCTCCTGCTCCTCTTGCTCCGACCTCCAGCCCCTCCCCCCCCAAGATCAGTCAGCCTCGAATCAGGAAATCGGGTCGGGCCAGAATATGCGTTGGGTCGGGCTGCACCGGCACAGAGTCGAAATCGAATCGGATCGGAGGTGCTGCACCAGTATGTGCAACATCGCCCATGCAAACATGGGCTGTATCGGTGAACCCGAAAATCGGACATCGAATCGAATGGGGCCGGCCAGAGCCGATATTGAAGGGTTTCGATCGGATCGAAATAGACCCTGTGCTCTGCTCTTCCCAAATTAATCCTCCTCCTGGCGCTGACGCTGGTGGCAACAAGGTCTGACAAGGAGTGCTTCCATCCGCTTCTCCTCCTCCTCCCCATCTTCCTCCTCCTGCTCCTTCTTACTCTCCTCCGCCTCCGCCTCGTCGCCATTCGTCCCCGTCCTCTCTCCCTCCATCCTCGCCGGAACGCTGCCCTTTGGTCTTCGGGTCACAGCTGGGCTCTCCCGCGGCAGTTTGCGACCATCTGACCCTTGGAATGCCCTCGCCGAGGCGAAGCTGCTGAATGCCATCCCGAGGATGGAAGACCGCAGACTTCAGAAGACCCCCCAAGAACCGTAAACCTCGACCCCGAAACATCCCTCCTAAGGACCAAGAGGAGCGGAATCACTGGCAGCAGCAGCAGCAGCAGCAGCAGCAGCAGCAGCAGCAGCAGCAGTCGGCGCCTCTCACCCACGGTCCCGCCGACGAACTCCCCCGCCATGGCAGCGACGCCGCCCGCGGTGGACGAGGCCGCGAAGGCGGCGCCCTTGGAGGCGGACACCTTGATGGCCGCCGTCGTCGCCGCCTTCCCGGCGGCGGCCTCCGCCGCCTCTGGAGGAAGAGCTCTGCCGAGCCATAGAGTCGTGCGGGAGATCCTCTCCAGCCATGCCCTGCGTCTCCTCCTATGCGTGCCCTCTGTGCTTCTCAGTCACCCCCCCACCCCAGCCCTATCTCACTGCTCCTGGCCCAAAGCCGACCCTCACTCCCCACCAGGTCTCGACCCTCGCCCGATATCCCTGGATCCGACCCTGTTATTGCCCCCAGCTAGGCACTCCTACCCCCCTGGAGGAAGGCATGATCGCTGCATGTAGGTCGTGGAACGGTTGGAAATAAACGGGCGTTTCCGTCTGCTGACGTATGTCTTGTCTTGTTGTCACCAGCTGGCACAAATCAGCAAAGATCTGATATTCGCCTCAACAAAACGCAGCTCTCTTTTTGCTCCATCTATGGGTTGCAGGAAAGAAACCGCGGCAGAAGATATGACTTCCGGAGCTCCGTGTGGATTCTGTGGCATCAAGGCTGGACCCTTCCGCCTTGGCGCACCAGCGGCGCGCCAGGGGCGGCGCCGGGAGGCCGCGCCAGAAGGGCCCCATCGCCGACCCGAGAAACCCACGCGGAACTCCGCAGGCGTGTGGGCGTTTTCTCCATCGGCGTTTCGACACTGGGCGGGAGGGGGGGGAGGGGAGGGGGGGGGGGGTCTGGCTCTGGACCTCTGCTTGGTGCGGCTGTTTGGAGCCGTGCGTCCTCTGGGGGAGACTCCCCCTGCTCGAAACAGACGCCCAGAACAGCCAAGATCTACTCCATGGAGGGGGGGAGAGGGGGGGTGCGAGGGCCCGCGCCGATCGGCAAAACAATGAATAACGACAATTATCACTAGATGCTTCTATTAAAAAAGGGCCCGCGCTTCTGTTCTGCTTCGAGCCTCCCTCGCCGCGTACGTGACGGCGTACTCGGTGCCTCGGGGATCTACTGATTGGGGTCAATCCAACCCAGGGTGAGTCAGGCGCTGCAAGATCCTGCAACATCCTGCAACATCCTGTAGGATGCTGCACCCAAATCCGGGTCAGTGCGACCCTGGCCCTGCAGGATCCTGCAAGACCTGGCGCTCTGATTGACCCCCGCTTGCATTGGCTCCGTTTCTCAAGGCTCCCGAATGCCCTTCTTGATCGTCGTGCCGGTCACGGCGCCCGCGGTGGCCTTGACGACCTCCTTCGGCGCCTTCGAGATCGCCCCCGCCACGGCGACGCCGACGATGCCCCCCGCCGTGGACCCGGCCTCGGTGTGGCATCGAGGAGAGGCAGGGGGAGGAGAGACGAGACGAGACGAACCCATGGAATCCGCAACTGGCTGGAGGTGCCCACAGTTTGCACGGGATTCTGGGAGTGGGTAACTTCGACCCGCACGGAACATTCTCGAAGTCCGCGACTCACACTCCTCACGTGAGGCACGTGCCTGTCGACACCTCTGAGGCGCGCAGCTTCGAGCGGGGGCCGACTCGGACGGCGAGGAGCAGCCACAGGCAGGAGGGGGAGGAGGCGAGGAGGGAGAGGGCGAGGATGCCTCGGCGTGGCCCAGCTTCGCACCCACCTTCGCCCCCGCGGTGACGACGCCCTTCTTCGTCGCCTTCCCCGCGAAGCCCGCCATCTTCGCATTGACCTTGTCTTAGGTCGGCCATGTCCCCCCACAGGCGGATGTTGGAAGAAATGCGCAAAACAGTCAAACAATCATTAGACATCGCCAAAACTAATCGAACTATCGCCCCCATTATATATATAAATGCATACATACATACATGCATGCATGCATGCATGCATGCATGCATACATCAATCCATCCATCCATCCATCCATCCATCCATCCATCCATCCATCCATCCATACATACATACATACATACATACAGACAGACACACATACACACATACATGCATCTATATATATATATACATACATATATATATTAAACAAGAAGGTTTGAATACTCCTCCAGTAGAGGGACATGCCCGACTTAGACCTTGTCACGGATAGTGTCGGCGAGCTTCGGCGCCGTCTGGCCCTGCATGGCGCCGGCAGCAGGCGCTCCGGCGGCGCCCCGCGGCTGGTCCGCAGGCGAGCGCCTCACGGCATCGTCGCACGCGCAGGCGCGGACCGCGGCAGATATGCTAAGGGGGGGGAGGCGCGGAGGAGGAGGAGAAGGAGAAGGACGAGAAGGAGGACGAGGAGCAGGAGCACGAGGAACAGGAGGAGTCTGAAGAGGAGGGGGAGGAGGAGGGGGATGAAAGAGGAGGAGGATGAAGAGGAGGAGAATGAAGAGGAGGAGGAGGAGAACAGGAGGATGAAAAGGAAGAGGAGGATGAAGAGGAGGAGGTTTCTGGGTTCCCGGGTTCCCGGTCGATCTCCTTATCGATCGTTTTCTCGATCCCACGATTCATCAACCCATCCACTGATTGTGTTTTCCTCTGGCGTCATGGAGAACGAACCCTTGATGAGGAACACAGGGTCTGGAAGCTGGTGGGGCTCCACTGCCGCCATCATACAGAGGCATTCCTGCACGAACGGCCCAAGCCTAATTGGCAGGAGAGCGCAACCAGCCGACAACCGCCGCAGCGCCAGAATGAAACGCGCGGGGGACTCAGATTGGGAATCTGTGCCTCGACTTCTCCACGAGCGCACCGCGGGTCCATAGGCATAGCTCGTTCTGCAAACGCACAAGAATGCGAACTACAACTTTCACAAAGGAAAAACCATCCAACAAGCATACTTGCCTCGGGGTGGGGTCATATGTAGGACCCAGACATACTGCTCCCTGCCTTCACCGCGCAGCCTCGATTAACTGCGGCAACTCGTCCGAGATGGACATCCGAGATGGACACAGAAAATTCCGCCGGTCCCGTATTCGGCCGGTGTTTGGTAGTCGAATCCAAGATCCAATAACGCGCAGTTCTCTCGTTTATTGGAAGTCGGATCCAAATTCCACTAAGGCTCTGTTATCTCGGCTTTTATGAAACGGAATCCAGATTCCAATCACGCGCAGTTCTCGAAGGATTCGTGGAAGTCGAATCCAACTTGCCCTCCAAAAGAAAAACTTCTCTTCAGTTTTGGGACTCCGAATCCAAACTCCAAAGACGCGCAGGTCCCTGTGGCGCCTAGAAATCGAGCCCGACTTCCAAGAACACGCTGATGTATCACGAGTTTGTTGGAGGTCCAACTTACATTCCAATAGCGTGAAGTTCTCTTATACTTTTGGAAATCTAATCAAACTTCCAAGAGCACACACTTCTCTTTGATTCTTGGGAACCCGATCCAATGTCCAATCACGCGCAATGATCTCGAACTTTTGGAGGTCGAATCTGGGCTGACAAGTCCAAATGTTAATAACACGCAGTTACCTCAAAAAAATGAGCATCAAATCGCATTCCCAAAACACACATGTATGTTAGGTTTGTGGAAGTCGGATCCAAATTACACGAGAGCGCAGAGTTTTCTCCGATGTTTCGAACCCCATCCCGACTTCCAATAACACGCAGCTCTCTCAGGCTTTTGGACGTCGAGTCTAAATTCCACGACTTTTCAATTACCCTTGATTTTTCGATGCTGAACCCAACGTCCAATCACGCGAAGTTATCTCTAGTTTTTGGAAGACGAATCCAATATGTCGAACAAAATTGCAATAATGCGCAATTGTCACAAGATCTTGATAAACGACTCCGACCTCCAAAAGCGCAACCAAGTCTCTCTGGATGTTTTCTGAGACCGAAGACGACTTCCAGAGGGGCCCAATTCTCTCAGGTTGCTGGACCTCGACTGCGACCTCGAAAAACGCCCGGTTCTCCCAGGCCGAACAGCGGAAGAATCGCCAGACCCAGCCTGATGGACCCATTCCCCACCACAACTTCCATAGGAGTGGGGGCAGGAGGAGGAGGAGGAGGAGGAGGAGGAGGAGGAGGAGGAGGAGGAGGAGGAGGAGGAGGAGGAGGAGGAGGAGAAGGAGGAGGAGAGGAGAGGAGGAGGAGAAGGAGGAGGAGGAGGAGGAGGAGGGAGGAGGAGGAGGAGGAGGAGGAGAACAAGGAGGAGGAGGAGGAGGAGGACGAGGAGGAGGAGGGAGGAGGGAGGAGGAGGGAGGAGGAGACGAGGAGGGGGAGGAGAAGGACGAGGACAAGGAGGAGGAGGAGGTGGAGGAGGAGGAGGAGGAGGGACGAGGAGGAGGAGGAGAAGAGGAGAGGAGGCGGAGGAGGAGAAGGACGAGGAGGAGGACGAGGAGGAGGAGGAGGAGAAGGAGGAGGAGGAGGAGAAGGGGACCTCCCCACCCTCCCTCTGGCAGTGGTGGTGGAGGAGGACGAGGAGGAGGAGGAGGACGATGATGAGAAAGAGGAGGATGGGGACCTCCCCATCCTCCCTGTGGCAATGGTGGTGGAACATGGGCCCCTCCGACCCGAGCTCTGCCGAACGGAGCCTTGTGGACACACGGAGCCCGGCGCTCGTGCCGCGCGCGCGGCTCGGCGGGGCGGGCCCTCCCCGCGCGGGGGAGCCCCCCCGGGGCCTGCAGCGACGCCTCGCCGTGGTGGTAGGCGCTCTTCTCGGCGACGAAGCCGGAGAGCTGCGCCACCTCGCGGCTCGCGGGGGGGCGCCGCGGGCACGGGGGCGACCCCCGTCCGAGAAGGGCGGCTCTTGCGGGAGGAGGGCGGGGGAGCGAAGGGGGCAGCGGGGAGGGGCAGCGGGGAGGCGGCGAGGACGGAGCCGAGGAGGAGCAGGAGTGGGGAGGCGGCAAGGAGGAGCGGGGGGGGGGGGGCGGACGTCGGGGGTGAGGAGCAGGAGGAGGCAGTGGAGGGCAACTGCTGCAGAGCAGGGCAGAGCAGCGCAAACGGTCCGAGGAAGGGCCGCTGCCCAGATCAGCATCTGACGCGCGCGCGCCCCAGATCAGCGATCAGGGCACGCGCGCGCCCCAACTCGACATCTGAGGCGCGTGCGCCCTGCCGGGGGAAAGCAAGAGGTACCGATACCGCCGCTCCCCTATAGGCATCTGCCGGAGGCGCGCTCCGACCAGACCTTCGAGGCGAGCCCAGCCTCGGCGACGAGAGCTTCCCAGGAGGCCCAAGAAGGCGAAGACGAAGGCAAGAGCAGCGGTGTTGGTACACGCCCCTCCTCTGGAAGGTCGGCGACCTGAGCACGCGACTCCCCTGGGCGAGCCGGGGCTCCTAGCAGAGCGCCCGCCTGAGCCCCCTCCCCCCCCCCTTGGGAGGGAACTTGAGCGGGAGCGCTGCGCGCAGGGGCGGCCGTCGAACCCCACCTGGGCGATCGACAGCGGCAAGAGCCTCCCTCAAGCAGCCCCGCCTGGGCGATGCCGGGGCAGAGGCGGAAGCGCACGCGGCCTCTGGAGGCCTCCTATAGATGGGGTCCGATGAGATGGGGTCGGATGATATCGCCCGATGCATCGGTGATGCGCTGGCGGCGTCGGCGATGCTTCGGCGACGTCGGCGTGGAGGGAATGGGGCCCGACATCGAGCCGCATCGCCGATTCATCGGCGAGGCGGCGCGATCCTCCGACCCCACCTACTCCGACCCTATCCTGGAGGCCCAGATTCGGGCAGGCCGCACTCGCATCAGGTCGGGCATGTCCTCCTACAGGCGGAGGAAGGTTAACCATAGTCGAGCAATCTTCAGAAGTAGCCCCCGAAAAAACCCTCCCCATATTATGTTTGACTATTATTGGATAGTCCTTCCGTAGAGGGGCGTGCCAGTCTTAACACTAGTGAGCATTTTCTTATTCGGCGCTTCGACATTGGGCGGAAGGGGGGCAGGGGGGCGGGGGGCGGGGTCTGGCTCTGGACCACTGCTTCGTGCGACTGTTTGCCGCAGTGCGTCCGCTGGGGGGGGGGGGGGGGGGGGCTCCACCTGCTCGAAACAGGCGCCAAAAAAGCCAAGATCTACTCCATGGCTGCACGGTTTCCCCCGGGGCCGTTGGCGACCCGAGGAGGAGGGAGAGGAGGAGGAGGAGGAGGAGGAGGAGGAGGAGGGGAGGAGGAGGGAGGAGGGAGGAAGACGAGGAGGAGGAGGAGGAGGAGAAGGAGGAGGAGGACGGGTCGCCTAATCCCTTCGGAGAAACCCCCCTCCATCCATGGGGGGAGCGGGGGAGGGCGGGGTGCGAGGGCCCGCGCCGATCGGCCAAACAATGCATAAACCATTACCCTGGCGACGTACCCAACCCTTGCGCAATGCGGGGCAGAGAAGTACATCAGAATTGCTACAACGAGGGCGATGACATAACATGGACGCATGTGGTTTTGCGAGCAGCAATCGGAAGGCTCGCAGGCCCCCGATCAAGATATAAGGGCGTCGTGGTGGTTACTAACGCAGCCCCCCCCCAGGGATGGCGAGGTCTCGCTCAGGTCCCCGCGGTGCCTCACTCCGCTGGACCCAACCGCAGCCCTCGAAGGTGGCGACAGAGTCGCAGATCGCAGCCCCCCAGGGACGGCGAGGTCTCGCTCGGGTCACCGCGGTGCCTCACTCCGCTGGACCCACCAGCAGCCCTCGAAAGTGGCGACAGTGTCGCAGATCGCAGCCCCCCAGGGACGGGCGAGGTCTCGCTCAGGTCCCCGCGGTGCCTCAGTCCGCATACCAGCAGCCCTCGAAGGTGGCGACAGTGTCGCAGATCGCAGCCCCCCCCCAGGGACGGCGAGGTCTCGCTCAGGTCCCCGCGGTGCCTCACTCCGCAGGACCACAGCAGCCCTCGAAAGTGGCGACAGCGTCGCAGATCGCAGCCCCCAGGGACGGCAAGGTCTCGCGGGTCCCGCGGTGCCTCAGTCGCAGACCAAAGGACCACCAGCAACCCACGGAAAGTGGCGATAGTGTCGCAGATCGTTGCCCCCCAGGGACGCGAGGTCTCGCTCAGGTCCCCGCGGTTCCTCAGTCCGCAGACCAACCAGCAGCCCTCGAAAGTGGCGACAGTGTCGCAGATCGCAGCCCCCCCCCCCCCCCCCCAGGGACGGCGAGGCCCTCGCTAAGGTCCCCGCGGACCTCACTTGTGGACCCAACAGCAAGCCCTCGACAGTAGCGAAAAAGACGCCAGATCGCAGCCCCCCCCCCAGGACGGCGAGGTCTCCTCCAGGTCCCCCGGTGCTTTTCAATCGCAGGACCCACCAGCAGCCCTCGAAAAGTGGCGACAGTGTCGCAGATCGCAGCCCCCAGGGACGGCGAGGTCTCGCTCAGATCCCCGCGTGCCTCAGTGTCCGCAGGACCCACAGCAGCCCTCGAAAGTGGCGA